AAGCACACCAGCCTGTGTGATCATGAGGTGTCAAAAGGATCAGGTATCAGGCATCAAAGAACAAAAAATCTTATCATTGTAAATGAGGGGGAGTGCGGAGTGGGGACCCAAAGCCCATCTACAGGCAACTGGACATCCCCTTACAGAAGGGTCGTGAGGGGGAGATGAGCCAGTCAGTGTAGCAACAATGAAACATACAACTTTCCTCTAGTTCTTAAATGCTTCCTCTCCACCTCTATCATGATCCCACTTCTACCTTACAAATCTGGCTGGACCCAAGGATATACACTTGTACAGATAGGAACTGGAAACATAGGGAATCCAGGACATATGCACTCCTCGGGGCCAGTGGTGAGAGTGGTGATACCGCAAGGGTGGAGGGAAGGTGGGGTCAAAGGGGGAACTGATTACAAGGATCTATATATAACCCCCACCCCCTGGGGAACGGACAACAAAAAAGTGGGTGAAGGGAGATGTTGGACAGTTTAAGACATGACAAAATAATAATAATTTATCAATTATCAAGGGTTCATGAGGGAGGGGGGGTAATGAGGAGTTGATACCAAGGGCTCAAGTATAAAGAAAATGCTCTGAGAATGATGATAGCAACAAATGTACAAATGTGCTTGACACAATGGATGTATGTATGGATTGGGATAAGAGTTGTACGAGCCCCCAATGAAATGATTAAAAAAAAAAAAAGGGCAGAAAGAAAAGACCACAATGGATGTCAGAAGAGACTCTGAAACTTGGTATTGAATGGAGAGTGACTAAAATAAACATGAAATGATTAAGTCGAAGAACTCAGAAGACGATTTCACAGAGCAGTCAAGATGACAAAGTGTTACAATGCAATGTGCAAAGACCTGAAATTAGATCACCAAAAAGGGAAGACCCTGCTCAGCATTTCTTAAGCTGAACAAACTAAAGGAAAATCAAGTCTCAAGTTGACATATTAGAGGATTCTGTAGGCAAAATTTTGAATGATGCAAAACATCAAAATAAGATGGAAAGAATATACAGAGTCACTATAGTAAAAAGAATTAGTCAATGTTAAGTCATCTCAAGAAAGAGCATAGGATAGAGAAGTGGTGGTACTGAAGCAAGAAGTCTAAGCTGAGGGGCACTAAAGGCTTTGGTAATAAACAAGTCTCCAGAAACTGATGGAATGTCAATTAAAATGTTTCAGACATATTTCAGAGGCAAAAGCCTCCAACAACAGAAGGGCCAGAAGGCGCAAATTTACAGTGATAATACATAAAGATCATAGTAAAGTCATAGAAGATAAAAAAGATAGGAAAGAGAATAAAATAGACACATTTATGGTAGCATGCTCACCTCAGCTTCTCTTGATTGACCAGGAGGAACTGGGATGAGTGAGAGCAAGTCTTTTCTATCTTGGGACATTTATAGGTAGTCTTAAGATATGTATATTTAGTAGTTACGTGCATCACAAGGTGGTGATACCTACATTAAGGTCCCTGAGCTCACAGGTGAGGAAACCTAATACCTGCATTGAGGGAAGGTAGGAGGGGGACTGGGTAGTTTATTCAGGCTTTTCTTTACATTGATGTTCCTCTTTCCTTTCCTGCTCTGTCTGCAGAGGTTCTAAGACCATCTAATCTTGAGCCCACAGAGCCCAGGTCTCCAGGGGGGATACTCTGCCCTTCTCTGTGTGCTTTCTTTAAGTTCGTACCCAATTCCTCCCAAGTTCCTAGATCTAAAGTTCCTTCCTCTGGGTACCATGGATTATACCTTTTGTTTGTTTTGTTTCACATTTTTATTTTATTATTATTTTTTAAATCATTGTATTGGGGGCTCATACAACTCTTATCACAATCCATACATCCATTCATTGTGTCAAGCACATTTGTATATTTGTTGCCTTCATCATTCTCAAAACATGCTTTCAACTTGAGCCCCTCATATCAGCTCATTTTTTTCCTCCTTCCCTCCCCCCTGATAATTTAGAAATCATTATTTTTCCATGTCTTACACCGACCGATGTCTCCCCTCTTCCACTTTTCTGTTGACCACTCCCCAGGACGGGGTTATACGTAGGTCCTTGTATCAGTTCCCCCGGAGTATACTTTTTTTTACTACTTGTAAAAATCTTGCCATCTTTTTGTTACTGCTACATTGTTTTTCTAGTAAGTGGGTGAGAGTAATAGCATGTTTTAGGTTTACTTCCGTCTTGCCCCATTGTCCTCTTTAAAATATTTATATTATTATTACTACTACTTATTTACTAATCCCCCAACCCGATTCTCACTTCAAATACTTTCCTCGGTTCATTCTATCTTCTTTTTTTTTTTTATATATATATATATATATTTTTTTAAACATTTTATTAGGGGCTCATACAACTGTTATCCCAATCCATACACACATCAATTGTGTAAAGCGTATTTGTACATCATTTCTCAAAACATTTTCTCTCCATTTAAACCCCCGACATTAGGTCCTCATTTTTCCCCTCCCTCCCTCATTCTATCTTCTGATGGCGTTACACAACCACTGCAAGGGGTAATTCTCCTCTGGGGAGACCTCCCCTTGGTCCCTGTTTGGGTGCCAAATTGTGAGGTACCAGCCCCCACAACTAACAGGTCCAAGGAGTGGTTGTGTAATTGAGGGGTAAAGTTAAGAGACATCAGACAATAAAGTAAGCAAGTACTCACCTCTGAGACCACTGTGACTTCTGAAGCCAGATCGAGCAGAGAGGGAGACTATATCACCAACCAAGGCTGATATACACTTGGAAGGCATGCAAACCCACTTAATTACAGGTAACCACATACGTAACAAAGTGGGCTGTACCCTAACCCTAAAGGCCCTGGAGTACATTGGAGGAGTAACCTAACACCAGGACCTGGGGCAGGTAAGGGGGAGTGGCTGTCTTTAGAGCCTAGAGAGCAAGAGCACATGTCTGCCTCTATAGTTAAAGCTGCCCTGCTGGCTACATAGCAATCAGCCATGTGCTTCTAAGAGGTAACCTAAAGGAAGCACTATTATGGGAGGATATAGTGTGGAATTATATCAATTATGAGAATGTGATTGGAATCACCTCCAATTCACAAGGGTGAAGGCCTCCCTCTATCCCAGAAAGCCAGCTTGCTATGCTTCTTAATATATGAGAATAAAGGAATCATCCATATATACCCTTCCCGTTCTCTGCTCCCCACAAACAGTTTCTTTAATTAAGACACACCAAAGAAATCCATATTTAGTCATTAATTTCTCAGCTGTCAGTGTTATCGTTAAAAGAATTGAGTAAATACTCCAAAGACCTGAAAACAGTGATGTGAATAGACATATATACTGGTGTGCATTGCGGCACTTTTCACAAGAGGCAAAATGTGGAAATCAAAATGTCCATCAATTCATAAATTGTTAAATAAAATATAGTATATACATACAATGAAATATTACTCAGCCATAAAGATGAACGAAGTCCTGATGCATGTCACAACACAAATTACCTTAGAAGGCATTATGCTGAATGAATTAAGTCAGATACAAAAGGACACATAGTGTATGTTATTGCTTATATGAAATTAGCAATTATATAGCAACCATAAGCCATTAGTGGTTACCAAGGACAGGAGAGAGCGGAAAAGTGAGGGGTTTTGCTTAGAATAAATTTAATGACTGTTAATAGAATTATTCCACAATTGATTACTTATTTCAAAGGCTAAGTGACTTAAATTTCACATATAACCCCAAAAGACCCTGCTCACCTCTGGAGATTTCTGTATATTCTGGAATACAGCATAGGTAATAAGTGAACTTGAACCTATAACACTGACAGAGATATGAAGTTATTATTAAAACAGGACATCCATTCTCTCCAAATGAATGTATCATTTTAATGTGCTTCCCATCAAAACTTTAGTCAGTATATATATTCTAAAATGTAAATGGAAGGCAAAGAAACTAAGAAAGATGAATACTTTTTTGGACATGAAGAATAAGGTGAGAATAACCAGTACCTGATTTCAAGACTTACTACATAGCTATCGCAATTAATACTATGTGGTATTGGTAGAAGGGCAGACACATTGATCAATGGAACTTAGTAGAAAATGCAGAAATAAGTCGGAGTTTTGACAAAGGTGTAAAAACAATGAAATTAAGGTTGACTTTTCAACAAGTGGCCCTGGGGTAATTGGACATTCATAAGGGGGAAAAAGGGAAAAATAACTCTTAGTTGTCTCATAGTTTATGCTAAAATAAACTCAAAATTTATCATGTAAAACTTTTAGAAAAATACTGACATAATTGTAGAAATGGAACAAGAATTCATAGTTGTCAGGAGTCATGGATGGAAGGAGGAAGGAGGGAAGGGAGTAATTATAAAGGAAACTAGAGGGATTCTTGCAGAGATGTATGAATTGTGAATTTTGACTTTATCAAGGTCAATATCCTGGTTCTGATAATGTACTCTAGTTTTGCAAGATGTTACCATTAGGGGATATTGGGTAAAGAATACAGGGATCTCTTTGTATTAGTTCTAACAATGAAATGGCCTACAATTATCTCAAAATATAATGTTAAAAACAAAACAATAGGGCTATTTCATTTTCGCTGTTTATTTTGGAAATAACCTTGCTAATCAGGTTGTCTTTTGATTTCCGGACATTATCCCTCAATCTGTTATTCTGCTTTGTTATTGTTTTTGATGTTGCCATATATATTAGTCATAAGATACCAACATGGAAGAAAATAGTATTTCTCTCAAATGAAAGAGTACAAACAAATCCCCAGGGGGAAAAAGTGTAGGTACTTCCAAAATTCTCGAGTTTTGCTTATACTAGACAGTCATATTCTATCAGATTAAATAAACATACCTCAGAGTAGCCATGACAAATTGTATCCACTGTGTTACCGAAAAAACCTAAATAAAAGAGAAAATAAAATTAGACTTTTTATATTAAACATTCAACCTTACCCCAATTTCACTGTTTATTAACTATCTGAGCAGCACAAATTCTTCAGTGCTTAACCAGGTGTTTCAAGTCTGGAAATGAGTGTCAAGGCTGTACGAGCCCCTGAATATGCAGTGTGATACCTTTGCTCATTTTACTCAAGTCTCTAGGAAACAGAAAGATAAAAAATAAGAAGAAAGTAGATAGAAAATGACTGAACAAAAAAAGATAAATGTTTGATGAGAAAACTAAGGAAAAAACAGGAAGAAAGTGGAGAAGAGGTAGGAAAAATTGAAATTTTGAAACAGAATAGACAGATTTAGGGGGAAGAATCAGCAAAGGTAAAAGATAAGGCAAACAAATACTACACAGAGTTGATTGGCAGCTAGACAGAACTAAAACAGAACACACACACAGAGAAAGAGAGGGAGAAGTAAACTACAGAGAAGTAGCCAGAAGAAAGATTAGTAGTCTGGAGGAAAGTACTGAGAGTGGAAAATACAGAACAGGAAGGAAGAAACGAGAAACAAACAGAGGAGAGAGACAGCTTCTGATCGACTCACCAGGTCCCAGTTGTCTTCCAGAATGCTAGCCTCCCAAGGGAGGGCCATAGGCACTTTAGTCCCAGCTTCTTTAAGCAGCCCGACCCTTCCTTCCCCGTCAGGTTGAGTCTAGAGCGGTGAGCAGTGAACAGCTGGCTCCACCCCTAGACCAGCTGGGCTCCTCCCCATCCCAGCCTGCCTTGTAACTTGAGGGTGAGGGAAGGTGGTGGTGACTAGAGGAGAAAAAAGCCAAACAGAAAGCACAAAACTAGAAAGAGCAGGTGATAAGAAAACATTCTAAGAAGCATTAAGAATCTTAACAAGGGACAAGAGGCAGAAATGATGAAAAGTAGAAAGAATGAATCATCGTGAAATGGATAAATTGAGATGCAAGAGAGAAATGGAACAGAAAGAAGGTCGACTTAAAGTTTGAACAGATAGAAGACAGTAATAAGGAAGAAACAACCTACTAACTCAGATAATTATTCTTAACAATACTAGGAAAATCTGAGAAGTTATTAATGTATATCATGACTTTTTAATATTAACATCTTTTTTAGAGTCTTTTTATAAATCATTTTATTGGGGGGGGGCTCTAGTATTAAGCATACTTGTATATTTGTTGTCATCAACATTTCCAAAACATTTTCTTTCTACTTGAGCCCTTGATATCAGCTCCTCTTTTTTACCCTCCCTCCCGCCCTTGTGAATCCTTACTTGATTCTATATTATTGTTCTTATTTCGTGTCTTACACTGTCCATGGACTCCCGTCACCCACATTTCGGTTATTTATCATCCCCTTGGGGGTGGAGTATATATCTAACCTTGTGATGGGTTCTTCTTTCTCCCCTGGCCCCACCATCCCCCTACCCTCATGATATCGCCACTCCCATTACTTAACATCTTCTTAAATATTCTGAATTGAAAGTTACTACCAGAAGTATGATTATATTATTAAATTATAATACTCATTTAACATACTTGGGTTAAAATATTGACCCTGAACAGAAACTTTTAAAAGATAAATAAGATACAGACTCAGCCTTCCAGGAGCTTGTAACATAGTGGGGAAATGGCTCAAAAAATCAGCCTGGAACAGCACTCTATATGGAGTGGTATTGGAATAGGATTTAGAACTGGTAAAATTTGGACAAAAATCGGGGAGGGGAAAAACACGAGCAAGGAGGGGTAGTGTTCATTTATGGACTATCTTTTATTACTCATCATTATCTTTATCTAGCCATCCGCTCCATCTGTTCTACAAATACTAACAACATAAATTTGCATACCCTGCAAAATTTAGATGCATGATTTATTTACTCTCATCAGGTTAAGATTGTTGTCTGGAATGGAAGATGAAACATTGCGAAATGGAAGAAGGCCTTAATCACATTGCTCAAATTATTAGGTAAAATAATATATAGAAATGCCAGATTTCTGAGTCAGCAATCCGTACCATAAGGGCTGTTTTGAGACTTGTAGGCATACATCTAATAAGGCAGAGGGCATTGATGGCAGTCTTATTGAGTGATAAATGAATGCTTTTGAACAAAGGAGTCTTGTCTCAGCCAAGAACAAACCTGAAATTGTTTAGCGATCAGTCTTGCCAAATCAGTCTGCTGCTCTTGATAGGTCATCAACTCTGGAGAAATTTTCTCTTGTGACATCACTTCAACAACATCTAATGCCATCTACTAACAGTTTAGAGGTTTATTTTCACGTTTTCTCTCTAAATTAATTGCCTGCCTCCTATGTATTCTGCATTTACCACCTTTGAGATATCTTTGGAAACAGTCTCTCCATCTTCCTTTTCTACAAGAGCTAATCCATACCCAAATGATAAAAGTATGTGATATTTACTTTGTTTTCTTTTCCACTATATTTTTTTCGTTCTCCAGCAAATTCAAACATAGTCAGCTCTCAATTAATGTAATGGGTTATTATGTTGTTGTTAAGTGCCATCAAATTAGTTCTGACCCACACTTTCCAGTCCTGCGCCATCCTCACAATTTTTCTTATATTTGACCTGATTGTTGTGGCCACTGTGTCAATCCATCTCCTAGAGGGCCTTTCTCTTTTTCGCTGCCCCTTTACTTTACCAAGTACGTTGTCCTTCTCCAGAGACGGTCTTTCCTGACAACATGATCAAAGTATGTGAGACACAGTCTTGCCATCCTTCCCTCTAAGGAGCATCCTGGCTGCTGTATTTCTTTCAAGACAGGTATGTTAGCTCTTCTGACAGCCCATGGTGCTTTCAGCATGCTTCACCAGCACCGCCATTCAAGTGCACTGATTCTTCTTCAGTCTTCCTTATTGAATGCCCAACTTTCACATGTGTATGACGTGACTGAAAATACCACGGCTTGGGTCAGGTGCACCTTAGTCCTCAAAGTAACATCCTTGCTTTTCAACACTTGAAAGAGGTCTTGTGCAGCAGATTTACCCAATGTAATGTATAGTTTGATCTCTTGACTGCTGTGTCCACGAAAATTGATAGTGGATGCAAGCAAGGCAAATCCATTGACAACTTCAATCTTTTCTCCGCTTATCGTGATATTACCTATGGGTTACTATGTTATTAGGTTCCATGGACTTGGTTTCAAACCATAGCATCCCTATGTGCAACAGAAAGAAACACTGTCCTGTCTTTCACCCTCCTCACAATTGTACCTATGCTTGAGTCCATTGTTGCAGCCACCATGTCAACCCATCTGCTAGAGAGCCTTTCTCTTCTTTGCTGCCCCTCTACTTTACCAATCATGATGATGTTTTCAGGACAGGTCATTCCGACAACATGTCCAAAGCATGTCAGATAATCTTGTCATCCTTGCCTCTAAAGAAAACTTTGGTCCTACTTCTTCTAAGACAGATTTGCTTGTCCTTTAAGCAGGCCATGGTACTTTCAATATTCTTCTCCAACACCACAATTCAAATGCACCAATTCTTCTTAGATCTTCTGTATTGACTGTCCAACTTTCACATGCATATAAGCCAACTGAAAACACCTGGCTTGGATCAAGCAAATTCTAGTCCTCCCTTGCTTTTCAATACTCTAAAGAGATCTTGTGCAGTAAGTTACTACTTGGCAGGTCAATTTGAATTACTATATAACAGTACCTATATGGGTTCCTATAAGATAGGTCAATTCAAGTTAACAGATCTAAACTTCTACCATGAGTAAGTCAGTCGATACAAAGTCAAGAGAGACATCTATCTACTAAAAGATTTTTATACAAAAAAAATATATAGAGAGACTTCCAGGAAGATGGCGACTGAGTAACACATACCAAAGGGACTCCACAGAAATCAGTGCATGAGGGTTACTACAAGGGAAATTGCATACTGCCGGTCGCAGGAGGAGCAGCATAAAGACAGGTAGGCACAGAACCACTAGATTTTGAGGAGCTGGGGACTTTTGGCTTACCGTAGTGGAGGCTGGCTACCATCTTACCATCACCCTTCTTCAAATTGGAAAAACTGATTACCAACTTCAGATGGAGAGGGAAGAAGCCCAGAATTATCAGAGAACTCTTCAAGAAGAAGGACACAGTGGGAGGGCTTGCTTTACCTGACTTTAACACATATTATACAGGCACAGTGGTCAAAACCACTTGGTATTGGTATAAAGACATGAAAATGAACTGAAAACCCAGAAATAAAATCTTCAGCATAGACTGATCTTGATAAGGGCCCCAAAAACATCAAATGGGAAGCAGATGCTCTCTTCAACAAGTGGTGCTGGAAAAAATGGGTGTCTACCTGCAGAAAAATGAAGCAAGACCTTTATCTCACTCCATGCACACAAATGCACTCAATGTAGATCACAAACCTCGAGGTAAAACCCCAAACTATTAGGGCCATCAATGAGGGAATTGGGACCAACCTGAGAACTATGGC